CGACAAATGTTGCATCCACGAAACCTACGTCGAAGACAGAATTAAGGCACATGAGATTGGGCCATGTCAGCGAAAGAGGCCTGGTCGAATTGGGGAGGCAGAACCTGCTAGAAGGTGACAAATTTGAAAAGTTGGAGTTTTGTGAATCTTGTGTATTTGGTAAATCCTGTAGTGCGAAGTTTAACATAGGCAAGCAAAGAACACATGGATCCCTGGATTACATTCATGCTGATCTTTGGGGGCCTGCAAGGAATCCTTCGCACTCAAGTGCAAGGTATTTTCTATCCATCGTTGATGACTATTCCATAAAGCTATGGGTATTCATTTAAAAGTCGAAGGATGAAGCTTTTGAGAATTTCAAAAGTTGGAAGATTCTGGTCGAAACTCAAACTGGCAGAAAGGTTAAGAGGTTGAGAACTGACAATAGCCTTGAATTCTGCAATGAATCGTTTGACAGTTACTGTGTTGAGTCTGGGATTGCAAGACATAAGACTGTAGCAGGTACTCCTCAACAAAGTGGCTTACCTGAGAGATTCAATCGAATAATCCTTAAAAGGGTTAGATGCATGTTGGTTAGTGCTATATTGAAGAAGGTGTTGGGCGGAGGCTGTTTCGACAACAGATTACTTAATAAATAAATGTCCCTCGACTTCCTTGGGAATAAAGACACCTGAAGAAGTTTGGTCGAGACATCCACCTAGTCTCGACAGACTGAGAGTATTTGGCTGTGTGGCTTATGCTCATATTAGGCAAGACAAGGTCGAATATAGAGCTCTGAAATGCATGTTCATAGGATACCCTGAAGAAGTCAAAGCTTATAGGCTATGGTGCCTAGAGCCAGGTCACAGGAGGTGTGTCACTAGTTGAGATGTAGTTTTAAATGAAGCAGAGATGACTTTCAAGAAAACTGATGATGCTGACGAAAAGTTGGAACAAGGAGAGATTCCTGTTGAGGTGGAGCATGTTAATATTGAATTGCGTACCCCATATGAAGTCGAAGAAGACGCAGAAGATGTTGTCGAAGATGAGGAGACTGATAATGACTACCTGCTAGCAAGAGACAGGTCAAGGAGAGTCATCAAGCAACCTCAGAGACTTGGGTATGCAGATATTATAACTTATGTCTTAATCTATGCAAGTGAGGTTCTAGATGAAAAACCTATAGACTATAAGGAAGTTATGAGGAGTCGAAAGAAGATTGAATGGATGAAGTCCATGGATGATGAGATGAAATATCTTTATGATAACAATACTTGGGAACTTATCAAGAAACCTGATGGAGCCAGGTTAGTCGGCTGTAAATGGATTTTCAAAGTTGAGGAATGAATCGAAGGAGTGGCGTCGAAGAGATACAAGACAAGATTGGTTGCTAGGGGGTTCACTCAGAAAGAAGGTGTTGACTTTAATGATGTGTTCCTTCCTATTGTGAAGCATATATCCATTCTAATGTTGCTTGCCACAGTGGCACAATTCGACCTTGAACTGGAACAGATGGATATAAAGACTGCGTTCTTGTATGGTGATTTAAATGAAACAATCCTGATAAGGCAACCTGAAGGGTATGTTAAAAAAGGGAAGGAAGAGTATGTGTGCAAGCTGAATAGATCCTTATATGAACTGAAACAATCTTTTCGACAGTGGAATAGGAGATTCGACAAGTTCATGGCACACATAAGTTTCATCAGAAGTCAGCTCGACCACTGTGTTTACTTCAGATTTTGACTGGACAATTCATTTTTTATTTTGTTGCTCTATGTGGATGATATTCTAATAGCAAGCAATAATGTCGAAGAGGTAATGAGGGTGAAGGCTGAACTTAATAAGGAGTTCGACATGAAGGATCTGGGAGTTGCGTTCAGGATTCTTGGGGTTGACATTCGAATAGATAGAATGCAGTCGAAGTTATGCTTATCTCAAGAGGCATACCTACGGAAGGTTCTCAAAAAGTTTAGTATGTCGAATTCAAAGCTTGTTGTGACTCTTAAAAACCCTTAATTCAAGCTGTGTATAGATCAGTGTCCCAACACTGATGTAGAAAGAACTTATATGAATAGAATTCCATATGCTAATATAGTGGGTTCTTTGATGTATGTTATGGTATGTACTAGACCCGACATAGCATATGCAGTAAGTCTTGTAAGCAGGTACATGGCGAATCTTGGAAAGGCTCACTGGTAAGTATTAAAGTGGAATCTAAGGTACATAAATGAGTCTTTGAATATAGTCCTAATTTATGATGGAGTCTTGGGTGAAGATAGTAAAGCACCAGTCGAAGCCTGTTCACATGCTGCTGATATGATAACCAAGACGTTGCCCAGTTGCAAGTTTTTTCATTGTATGCAGTTGATAAAGCTGCATGAAGAAAGCTAGTTTCTTGATGTTATAGAGTTAGATTCAAGGTGGAGATTTGTGAGATGTTGGATCGAACTCTAGTATGTTTGAAGGATAGCTTCTGGTTCGACAGGAATTAAGCATGAGGTCGAAGTATGTTTACATGCTGTTGTCGGAGTAATGCGTGTTGTAGTCGAAGTTTGTTCTAACATGCATTAATCAATATTGCTAGGGTTGTTAGCATGTTAAATTGGACCTTGCTTGTAAGCTCAATTGTTTAAGTTAACTTGTACCCTAAGTTAGCTTGTAATGGATAATTGTTAAAAAAAACCCATTACGTTAGTGTGCTATTTTTCTTATAAATAGTATGCTAGTTTCTCAATCTTGCATAAGGAAAAATAGGAAGATAAAATCCTAATTTCAAGAGAGAGTTATTTTGTTATTCTTGTATACTTGTAATCTCGACTAAGAGAAAGGAAAGAATAACTATTTATAACCAATCCTTGTTGTTTCTTGTTGTTTTACCTTGTTTTTTTTGTTAACCCTAACCCTTGTGTGTTTTTTGATTATAAAGAAACCGTTTATACTTTGTTCCAAGGTATCCGATTCACAATAATTTAACATAATGAAGCCTTAACATTGTGCGTGGTGTGCTGAGCTACGTTGTACTATAAAAAGATGGAAGAAAAAGGATAAAGAGGGCTTTCCTTTAGATAGTCACACCAATATTAGAAGACTTTGATGTAAGCCTAATCCACAGGGATCTCGTAATGACTTACCAATAGAAAGATAATAAGCATTATTAATGGCCTAAATCACCTCAGGAAAACACTCAAGTACTTCAGTTTCAAAAGGTCATTATGATATAACCTACGCAAATACGTCTAAGGCATGATGCACATTTAAGACGCATGTTCCCGATGACATCGACATCACTTCTAAGCTTTCCGCTCAAGTCGAGATATGACCGGAGGGAAATGGCATATGCAACAAAGCCCTCACACTATAAGGTAGAGGCAATGTCTTGGGGGGTAACTGTTCTAGGTCGTTCATAAGACCCTACAACCACAACTCAGAGGACATAACAATCCACCAAGTCACTCGGGGAGCATGAGTGTTATCCTGGATTAGAGCAAAGGAGATCAAGATCCAAGATCCATCCAACAACTCCCCGTATCCTACATCTGAAGTTTAGTAAGTTGTTATAATAGCTATTTATATAAAGAGGAAACACATCATTTTCTAGGTTAAATTCAAACTTAAACTCGACTCACTCATTTTACTCTCATATTGACTTTAGTGTTGGAGTGTTAACCTTACAGGTCTGTCTTATTCTCACCATACCAGGAGCTCAAGTCCACTGTTACAATTTATAATCTTCACCATATCCTACAAATCCCCGTATCCTACACATGAAGTTTAGTAAGTTATTATAATAGCTCTATTATATTTTCCATGAAACACGTCATTTTTTAGGTAAAATTCAAATTTAAACTCGATTCACTCATTTTACTCTCATACTGACTTTAGTCTTGAAGTGTTAACTTTACAGGTCAGCCTCATTCTCACCGTACTAGGAGCTAAAGTCCATCGTTATAATTTATAATCTTTAATCTTCGATCAATTTTGATTCCCTAACAAACATGTTGTATGAATTTATTTAATTTTAAGATGAATATATTTGTATTTGATGGTAAACTATCAACATTTTTCAGTGAATTGTATGAATTTACTAAATTTTGAATATGTTATATGAACTTATTTAATTTAATTTGGAGTTGTTTGAAAATAGAGAACATTAAATAATTTGGTTGAAAGAAAATAATCGTTTAGGAAAATGATAAATGAATGTATTGTTTGAATTTTTTTTCTTTCAAAATAATCAATTGAACGAATAAAAATAAACAAAACCGATTACTTTGATTCAAATTTTCTTTTTTTAATTTAAAATTGATCCAAACTAAACTGATATCTTTAGTATTTTGAAAGTTTTAAACAAAACAATATTTATTTTTATTTTTATGAGGTATGAAAAAACAACTTTTTGACCAAAGGTTTTCTTTTTAAAATATTTGTTGTCTTTTAACTTTATTCTAGAAATAAAGAAAACTTTTTTTTGACAATTTCGAATTTTTTTAATTCTTCACTTTTTAAAATATGATATTTTGTATTTCGTATAAAGGGAAAAATTTATTTTTCAACATAAAAAAAATCCGTTTTATATCTTTTTATAATAAAGTATCTTTTTTTTCGAATGCTAATTTGTAAAACAAGATTTCGCTCCTGAATCTTACGCCCAAAGTTTACTTTAAAAAATCAGCAAAAATAAATTGATTTTATATATTTTATTATTATAAAAAATAAATATAAAAATAAACCAAACGTTGCAACTTATGTGATTCAATGTATATAGACAATAAAAATTTTGAAACGTTGTAATTATCCAAAAATATATTTTTTAATAATTACACTAAAAAATTATTAAAAAAATCTCATTTTAATTTTTCAATTTTATTATAGTAAAAAATTGAAAAAAATTGAATTAAATGAAAACGTATAGGGATAGTTGAAGGCTATTTAGAAGAGAAGCAGCATTGCACATTCTGCACCAATTCCCTTCTCTTTCTCTCAATTCAGATTCAGTTACGGTGGCTAACCGCAAAACGGTTATGGAGGCCACTTCTGAATCTTCCGACCCGAAAACCGTTGATCTTCCCGTCATTGATCTCCGCCTTGTTTCTCAATCGGAGCTATACACTATCTCCCTTTCGCACGCTACCGTCTGTAACCGTCGCATCGACGAAGATTGCGTTATCCCTAAAATTGACCGTTCTGTTTTCAAAGAGTCCACCGGTAGCCGGAAACAGACGTTTTCTCGTCTTCGTCTGTTTCCTCGTAACAATAACAACCCATACTCTCCCGTTCCCGTTCCTGTTTCTGCTGCCGTTGCTCCTGTTGCGGTTGTTCCCGCTCCTTCATCTTCGTCTTCCCGCATTGCCTCTGACGGAGAGAATTCTCAAATAATCGATCTCCTGCAAGAACTATTCGGCGTTGAACCTCTCCGCGGCGCGTATAATGACAGTGCTGTTCCGTTGCAAGTTGAATTCAAACAACCGGGTCTTGAATTTACGCCTCAGGCTGTTCAGAATGTTCCGATTGATGGTAGTCAGACGAAGCGGAAGCGCGGAAGGCCTCGCAGGGGCGAGACTCCGGGCACGGAGACTCTATTAGCCATTTGCGATGGTAATGGAAAGGCGATGGAAACAGATGATAAGAAGAAGGTAGAAACTGTTAATGGCAAGAAGAAGAAGAAGGTGGAAACAGTAAATGAGAAGAGAGTGGAAGGGGCTAAGGAAAAGCAGGGGTTTGTTCTGGAGGATGCTGGGGATCCATTTGTGGAGGAGTTGATCGTGAGGACACAAGGGATGAATACAGAGCCAGAGTTGCTGGAGTTTTTGGAGGGTTTGAATGGAGTTTGGGGAAGTGATAGGAAGAAGAGGAGGATTGTTGATGCTAACTGTCTCCGTGATGTGCTGCCAACTGGATGGAAACTCATACTTACTCTTCAAAGGAGAGGGAGTCGCGCATCGGTTTTATGTCGCCGATACGTAAGGTATTATGCAACTATCCTATTCTTATTGCTTTATTCATTCTTTGAATTTGAATTTAAGCTTTGATATCATTTTAGAATTTGAATTTGAATTTAAGCTTTGATATCATTTTAGAATTTGAATGTAAGCCTTGATATCATTTTAGAATTTGAATTTAAGCCTTAACTTAACCCCACAAAACTGAAATGTGAGGGAGAGACTATCCAAACCTTATTAGCACTGCCAAGGCCATATCTCTAGTTTGATGTGTTAATTTGGCTTCTGCTTGTTTTCATGCATATCCTATCTAAGTGGTAAGTAGTACCAAATTCACTTGTTTGAATGGCCAGTCTGAGTTTAATTAACTACAATGTAAAAAAAGATACTTGATATGGAGTGAAAACATAACTGCTTTTTTGTTTTGTATGAGATCAGAGAACTCATATTTGGTTTAGAAAGGGAATCTTCATTGAAATTAAATAATATAACACATGCAAAATTTAAATTAAGCGATCTTGAACAGACACAGCAGATGTTGGTACAATCAAGATATCTCTCATATATGGCAAAATGGCTCCTGGCCTTTAGAGGACATTTCATCCTCAGAATCTGTACTATATTTGATCCGATTTAATTCATCTTTTATTAGTGTTCCTTGTTTGCCGAAAATTTAATTGTTTCTGATATTTTGCATATGTTTTCGATCAGTTTATGAACAATTGAATAAGGGAAATATAGAGTGTATATATTAGTGTATTTATTTCACAATGCTTTTATTTTAAAAATTACATGTTATTTTATAAGCACTAATAGGTAGAAAAAGAACAGACTATTTGTGTTTGCTATCATTTTGATATGAGGTGAATGGGTTGAGTTTTTATAAAAGGAAGGGCTGGAGTGGCATCTCTAATCCTGGGTCAGCCCTATCCTTCCTAGGGAGAGTTGTCTACGACTAGTGTTCTTTAATGGTTCAGGCTTTAATGAAAAAGCTGTATTCGGCATATTATCTATTTCAGTATCCATAATTTCCTTTTGGAATACCCTAGATGCTTCCCCTTATTAAATGAACCCCAATCTACTTACATGCATATTTTGATTTCTACTGTACAGCTATAATATTTTGATTTCTACTGTATCCAAGTTATGACACAGCTATAATATGACCAACTTTTCGTTTTCAATTTTCATATGATCTCTGAATTATACAGATTATGGTTCTCTGGATTTTTAGTTCCCATTCCTGCAGTGTTGTAATTTCTCTTACACTTGAATTCCCCCAACTATCTTTGTAACTTTTAGAGTGTATCTATTTTTTTTAATCAATTTCACCACCGGGAACTGAGAATGAATTTGATTGTTTATTCACTCAAGCATCAAATTCCTAACAATCCCACCTTTCATGAGATGGATGGAGGGATGAAGTTATTGTGACATTGAAGTTTGAGAATAAATTGTTCATATTAATCCTCAAGGAATGAAGTTATCAAGTATTCATGTGACCTGCAATGGACCAAAAATGAGTTTTACTGAAATTTTACTCTGTAGCATCTGTAACCTGAAGTCTATTGGCACAGTTTATGCATATAATGACTATTGCTTAAGTATTATTTATGTTGGATTCTTATGCAATTTTCCTAATTTGATTCCATTCAGCCCTGACGGAAGCGAGTTTGAGACATACAAGGATGTTTCTTCATACTTGGTTTCTTTGTCCGATGTTCAAGACGCGAGCCACTTAAAATCTAGTTATACTGATGGTAGTAAGCAGTTTTCCAGCAATATCAATATGTCATCTGAAAATGTAAGCTAATATTTGTAATTTCTTTTTCTTTTTCTGTTCCAATAACAAAAGGAACATGTTTCACTTTTTCTTCTTTTTACACACGCAGCAGAATATTGGTCATGTCCCCACAGGTGGCGTTATGATTGATGCCAATGCAAGTTCTCATCATGAAAAGCAAGCCACCATATCATCACCAAATGGAACTGAAAAGCGAAACACTTCTGATGGGAATTTAAATGGTGACCTGGCAGCTATGGATTGTGAATTAGGTGATGCCACCAATGGAGCCTTTGGAGTCTCTGACCATCCAACTGATGATAAGCTACCACTGAAGGCAGATACGAATGATGCAAACTCAGTTCAGGAAAGCTTTCTTTCAGAGGACAGAGTTTATAATGTATGTAATCAGGAGTTGGTTGGTGCTGTTTTGGCTAGTAATGTTGCATGTAGTCTACATTTATCACCAAAGGAACATGTTTAATTTTTTCTCTCTTTTTATGCATGCAGCAGAGTGTTGGTCCCATCCCTACAGGTGGCATGAAGATTGATGCAAACACAAGTTCTCATCAGGAGAAGCAGGCCACCATGTCATCATCAATTGGAACTGGATGGGATGAAACTGTTCCCAATGGAAATGAGCAAGTACGTTTTGGTGACAATGGGCTTGGGCTTTCCGCCACATTAGTGGAAAACCACATTCAGAAAATAGCTTCTGAAAGCAGCATGCTGGTTCCAAATTCTCAAGATATTTCTACTAATGGTAAACTTCAGTTTTGTCCGGAAGGCTCTCTTGTCCCATCCCAGAATGAACTTAACCATACATCTATAGAGAGTATGGATAGGGAACAAACTTTTGTGCTGAAGGACTCTGCTGGGGCAAACAAAAATTATAATGATTTTCCTGGCTCGTCCACGGATGAGAGAACATGGGATCACAATGATGAATATATGAATAATATTTCTTTTGATCCCTGGCAACAAGATGCACCTGTGTCTGGTGAAATTGATTTTACTCCCAATCTTTATGTAACTAATGGTGTTAGTGATAATCATGGTCTTCCATTGGACGAAGTTGCGACAAGCTGTTTACAGAAAATGAGTTCTCTGAATGACCAAATTTGCACAATGGACAATCTGTTGCACAGAAGGTCTGAAAGTAACTTATTTACAGTAGCCGAGAGTCAGCACCCTTCAGCTCGCCATGATAATATAAAAAACATCTCAGATGGAGCCTCTGTTGCAGTCAAACATGTTGATGATGCATCTTCTAGGGTCTTGCAGGGGAGATCACAATCTGTTTCTCCTGGTGGAAGTATGTTAAACCAGTTTGACAAGAAAAATGATGATGGGGTTAATAATGGAAATACCTCTTGCTTATCAGGTATTCGCAAATTTTGATAGCAGCCTGGACTCAGATGTGTCCTCAGATGCAGTGCATAACTTTAAAAATAAAACATGTACGGTAGTTTGCAGAGTCTGCCTGTAAATTATCAATTTTTTGCTCAGGATGATAGCCTAGGAAAGGTAATATTTACATTATAACAAAAAAAAACAGATGTTCTTTAGAAAGGTTTATTTGTTTCGAAGGCTTCATTTTATGCCTCTCTAGTATATGTTATTTGAAATTCATGGTGAAATGAAACTATTTTCTTTTAATATGAATTTTTGGAAGTTAGTTTGAAAGTAGTTTATGCCATTATAGAACATATTGTTGCTTTTTCTACAATTAACTTTATAACATGGTTACGAAATATATGGAAAAAATATTTTTTCGACATTGTGGTGGATTTTGCACATTTAGAACGAAATGAAGAAGGTTGCTTATTGAGATAGTAATATCCTGTACACGAGTTATTTCCTAAATGTGTATTTTTTTAATCTTATTAGTTTTTACTTGGGTGCTTTGTTAATTGAAGTATAATTCTATTCAATAGTGATGTCCTTGAGTGTTAAGAACCTAAAGTGTGTGATGGCCGAGCATATGTTGAAACTTGTAGTAGGACAATTAGTGGACAGAAAATCAAGAATACCCAAGGTTGAATAGTTCAAATACTGTATTTGGGGGCAGGGAAATTGTACTTATGAAGAAAACTACTAACAAGAACTTTGTGATGGTGGCTGTACGGTGGAGAATTTGACGCCAAAATTAGCTGTGATACACTTTAATGGCTGTCTAGGAACCTCTGATTTGAGATCATGGGAAAGCCATGTTCTAGCCTAGTAGATAGTTACATTTATAATCATATTATAGTACCTTGTGTTGCTTTTTGAGTGAAGGTGCAGCCATGTTCTCTCTATAAGCTTCTCTCACCTGACATTATTTTTGGGTACTAGTGAAAACAGTTATGTAGAGGATTGGATTTTACGATGCAACACGTTTTAAGATTTTGTGTCCAAATTTATATACAATTGAGCTTATGAACCTTAACTTGATCTAAGTTTTGTTCTTTTCCTAAATAACTACTCTAAATGTACTATAGAATTATTCTTGTTCTCTACTTGCATGCTTTATTTTTTGAAGCTAATAGTTTCTATTCTACTGTTTTCTTCCTCCTTTACTAATTTTCTTGTATTTTCTGAACAAAACAGACAGATACTTGAAGGCAACATTATTTTGTTGATAAATTCAGCTGATCGTGCTGGTGGCTTCGCAATTCCAGAGGTTACTGTGCAGGTTCTGGTGTGAGGTTTCTCCTGCTTCTTGCCAGAGCTCAGTCTGCTTTTTTATGTTTCAAGTAAAAGTTTTCCTTTAGGTCATTTTTGTTTAGAACATTCTTTTTTTCTTCTCTGCTATACCGTACATTGAATTTTTGGTCGAGTCTTCAAATGAAGAAGGAATTATTTTCCCCCCAAATTTCAAAATTGAAAAGTCAAACCAGGTGTTTGATTTTCGTGTTTGACGCAAATCTACCTGTTTGTACCACCGGTATTGATATTGTTTTTTGGTTTTTCTATCAAATGTTTAATGTCTGATTTACTACCTTCTAATTTAGTCTATAACAGTGTATATAAATCTAATAAGTAATTTTAAAGTATACAAAATTAAATCAGTCACTTTAGTTTTTGTTATTAAAATATTATGGACCAATATGACCGAATTTTGTATACTTTAGAAACTAATTACTAAGAACTTGTCGAACTATTTTATCCCGCCACATGAGAGTGCGGGTTATAGAATGGATATGAAGGTAGTTCATAACGGTCAATGTTTTAGAAATGCAAGTTTAAACAGGTTCACAATACCACTCCTTCCATCTCATTGTGTTGACCAACAAACAACCAATCATTATTTTATTAAGACCCGTCGGCTACATGAATAAATCAGTGTTTATAATGTTCTTTCTATTATTATTATTATTATTATTTTTTTTTTTATCAAATTCATTGATTTTTTTCAAAAATATTGTTTTCTTTCTGTATTTAAGTTTTTCTTCTATTTATAGAAATTTGACTATTATTTATGATTTACTCTGTACAATACAATTTGTGCGTCTTATTTCTATATGTTCAAACTATTTAAATCAAAATTGTACGATCTTTTTTACAATGAGTGCTATTCAACTCTTTTTTTATTGGTGTCCCTTTCAATCTTACTATGGATACTTTTACCATACATTCAACGCAATATATGTGCCTATGTTACCTTAATTTATTTTTGTGATGGTTTTCTACTTTTCAACACTTTATCCCGTTCAACATTGTTAGTCATACAACTGTCCAAAGGTTTTATCGCATCACATAAAAACACCTCTGACCATCCTCTATTTCAACTACATATCTTTCCATTTTAATTACACAACTTGAATTTGATAATTTAGATCTTCTACTTTTATTTTATCTTCTACTTTTATTTTATTTTTTACTACACCCACAAAAATTTCAAACTTTTAATTGTTGGTAGGAAATTGTCACTAACTTCCACTTATAAACTAGAATTGCTCGGTATTGACCAGTGGATACGTTTGGTAAGTATGTCTAAATTAAATTAAAATAAATAAGGATTTAGGGTTAACTCTTGGCACATATCTATTGTTATAGAAAAAAAATGTTTCATAGCTACATCTTGTGCTCTCACATCAGTGAGAAGAGTATTTCACAAAATCTTTTGAGCAATTATTTCTCAATATTTTCAAATCAATAAAAGTCAAGTGTATCTTTTATTTATTTATTTGATACCACTTTGTCACATGTTGCAATAGATGTTGGGAAAAGAAAACAAATATAGAAGATAGTAATAAAATGCGGAAGCTGCTGGATCAACTTTTTCCCTGCGTGTAGTTAAAAATAAGCCTCAAACAAAATTGCTCAGACAACAATAATAAGCACAAAATAGAGCAAATAAAATAAGGAGACACCAGAATTATTAATGTGGGAAAAAACCCTTAAAGGGAAAACAACCCACGGGAACAAGCCAGTAAATCTTCCACTAATAAAAATAATGGGTACACCACAAGTCCTCCTGGAACCACCAGGGATCAACAGAGCAAATATAATCTTCACCGTATAAGGTGGATATCAAATCAACTAACCCCTCAACGGGTTCTACGACACAACAATAAAGAGACACTCTTTGATATTCTTCTCTCTGTCTGTAGAGTCGCTCATGTTGCAGCTCTCTTCCCTCTTGCTCTTGTTATGTCTAACACATAAGGGTTAAAACCCTTTTAACCATTTCATGGGCTTTGGCCCACAAAGCTAATTCTCTTTTTCTTCTTCTTTTCTTTTAATAATAATAATAATAAGATTAAGTGGGCTCACTTATTTTGGTGACCCACACAACAATTCTCCCCCTCACCAAATTAAAGGGAGACCATAGGAGACCAAACCTACTTTCTTTCTGCAAGTAGAGAACTTCTCCATAGGTAAGGCCTTTGTCATCATATCTGAACCATTCTCGTCAGTATGGATTTTCTCTAATGAAAATTTCTTCATCTCCAGCGCATCGCGTATCCAATGATACCGAACATCAATATGCTTCGAATTTGAGTGATAAGTCGAGTTCTTGCTGAGATGGGTTGCACTCTGACTGTCACAATATAAAATATATTTCTCCTGTGAGAGACCCAATTCTTGTAGGAATTTCTGCATCCAAAAGAGTTCCTTTGCAGCTTCTGTGGCGGCAATATACTCTGCCTCTGTAGTAGACAAAGCAACACATTTTTGCAATCTAGACTGCCATGACACTGCTCCCCCTGCAAAAGTCATCATATAACCAGAAGTAGACTTCCTAGAATCCACATCACCAGCCATGTCTGCATCTGCAAAACCATCTAACATAGGCTTACCACCTCCAAAGCACAAATAGACTCCAGAAGTACCTTTGAGATACCTGAGTATCCATTTCACAGCTTGCCAATGTTCTTTGCCAGGATTAGAGAGGAAACGACTGACCATGCCAACTACATGAGCAATATCTGGACGTGTACACACCATCGCATACATCAAGCTACCAACTGCAGATGCATACAGAATATTCTCCATTTCTTCTTTGTCTTTCTCACTTGTAGGACATTGCATAGAGCTCAATTTGAAGTGACCTGCAAGTGGAGTGCCAACTGATTTTGAATTTGACATATTAAACCTCTCCAATACCTTCTCAATGTACTTTTGCTGTGATAACCATAATTTGCAATTCTTTCTGTCACGTGTAATTCTCATGCCAAGGATTTGCTTTGCAGGGCCTAAATCCTTCATTGCAAAGGACTTGCTCAACTCTCTTTTCAAATGCTCAATCTCTTTCATGTCATGACCAATAATCAACATGTCATCGACATAGAGCAAAAGGATAATAAATTTCTCACTAGAGAATTTCTTCACAAACACACAATGATCAGAAGAAGTTTTTGCATACCCATGATCCACCATGAAAGAATCAAATTTCTTGTACCATTGCCTTGGAGCTTGTTTAAGACCATACAAGCTCTTCTTCAATCTGCAAACAAGCTTCTCTTTACCTTTGACAGCAAAACCATCAGGCTGCTCCATGTAAATTTCTTCCTCCAAATCACCATGGAGAAATGCGGTCTTCACATCAAGTTGCTCAACCTCTAAATTCAAACTAGCTGCCAAACCAAGTACAACTCGGATTAAAGACATCTTGACCACAGGTGAAAAAATTTCTTCAAAATCTATACCTTTCTTCTGACTGAATCCTTTCACAACCAACCTTGCCTTGTACCTTGGCTGTGAGCTATTTTCTTCTGACTTCAATTTAAACACCCATTTATTCTTGAGTGATCTCTTACCATTAGGCAGCTTCACTAGCTCAAATGTGTGGTTCTCATGTAAGGATTTCATCTCTTCTTGCATGGCTTTGTACCACTTGTCTTTCTCTTCATGTGACATAGCTTTTTCAAAGCTTTGTGGCTCTCCCCCATCAGTAAACATCACATATTCAT